TTCCATTATTCCATGCAGAAAATTAAAACCTGTAGCAGTCACTGGACCTTCAAGACTTTCATGATAAACATGCATGGTCTTTATAAGCATATTTAAACTTTTGTTAATTCTATGTCCGTCTAATTCCCATATACAGGCAGAGAATAAAAATCTTTAAGCCTGTTGTGAGAACATCAAAGTGGTGGAGGCTGAGGCTGTGGATGATCTTCAGGCATGTTTGGACTGCACTGACTGAATCAGTGCAGTCAAAATCAGTCTGAATCAGCACACAGAGGCCATGAAGTCCTATATCAGCGTCTGTGAGGACTGCTCTGTACCATTAGGGTGACGTATAACAATGACAAACCCTGGTTCACAGCTAAACTCAGACAGTTAAGGTTGAAGAAGGAGGAAGCATTTAGGACTAGAGACAGATGCAGGTTTAAGGAGCTAAATTCAAGGCTTAGAAAAGCTGTGAGTGAGGCTAAACAACTGTACTCCTAGAAGTTTCAACCCTATTTCTCTGTCTCTGCCTGGAGGGGGGCTTATACATATAAATAATCACAAACCAAAAGCCCCCCACTTTATTAATGATCTGTGCATGACCTGAATTAGTTCTGGTGTCACTTTGAAGCAATAGGACATGAACCCATCCCCAGCAACCCCAGCCACCATTTCTAGCCCATCAGCTCAACCTGCTCCACCCCATCAGGAGCCTGGCCTCTCTGCAACTGCACACCCCTGACCCCCTGTCCTCCACCACCACCACAGAGATGCCTCTCACCATCCTGGAGAGAGACGTCAAGAGACGGAACCCTCAGAAAGCAGCTGGGCCAGATTTTGCATCTCCATCCACCTTGAAGCACTGTGCTGATCAGCTGTCTCCAGTGTTCACAGATATTTTCATCACCTCACTGGAGACATGCCACGTACCAGCCTGCTGACAGACCTCCACCATCATTCCTGTCCCCAGAAAAATCAAGGACCACTGGACTGTACAACTTAAGACTGCAGTTCGCCCACAAAGCCAACAGGTCCATAGATGATGCTGTTAACCTGGCTTTCAACTTTATCCTCCAGCATCTGAACTCGGCAGAAACTTTCACCAGGATCCTTTTTGTGGATTTCTGCTCTGCCTACAACACAATCATCCCCATCTACCAGCTGCACAGGCCTGACTCCACCTGAACGTGGCTCCCTGATTTCCTGTTTGACAAGAAACAGCAGGTGAAGTGGTGACAACATTTCTGACTTCTGGACCATCATCACCAGATTACCACAAGGTTGTGTCCTTTTACCACTGCTCATCTCCCTGTACACCAACAGCTGCAGCTCCAGTCACTAGTGTGTCAAACTCCTGAAGTTCCCAGACAACATCACCTTTATTGGACTCATCTGTAGTTAGTTGTTCTCTACTACCTTTGGAGGTGTCTTCCATTTTGGTGCAGATATTTCTATACACTCTACCAGCCACTTGGTTATGGCACTCCATGTATGCTGTATCGGTCTGCATCTTACAGCTGTCTGTTATGTGCTGTACTGTTTTGGGTGCATTGTTGCACAACCTACACCTGGGGTCCTGTCTGGTGTGGTAGACCTTGGCCTCTATTGATCTTGTGCTGTGTGTCTATTCTGGTGCTGCTATGATTAGTGCTTCTGTGCTATCTTTCAGACCAGCTTTTTCCAGCCACTGGTATATTTTTTGATATCAGCCCCTTGTTCTATCCGTCGGTAGTACATGCCATGCAGGGGCCTGTTCTTCCATAATTGTCCCTCTTCCTCCTCAGCATTGGGTTTCTGCTACCTGAGGTATTCAAATAGCAGGTTGTCACAGGTGGCCATCTTCCTGACGTAATCCTGGATCTTTGTTGTTTCATCCTGGATAGTGGCTCTGACACTATCATTGTGAGGAACTTCCTTGTCTTAATGTGGCCTCTACTACTCCTTTTCCACCAAGAAGAACCAGGTGCTAGCCACGCCATACGTCACTGCATATGTAGCCATTTATCGAACAATGTGCCATACAGAAGTCCAACTTTCTCATTTGGTCACACTTCCCTCCTTGTCACAGACAAAATCTATGACTTTGTGAACGTTTTCTTATCAATAGACTCTACAATTTAACAATGTTCCCTGAACGCCCCACATTGCAGGCGCGTGGTAGATGTTGCTTGGTGGCTGCGGTGTTCTCAGACAGTTGTGTGACCAAAAATGACTTTAAAGATAATAAACTAGGACGTTCTAGTGTCAAATTTGTCCAAGATGAAACCGGGGGTCATTCCAATACATCTACGATTGGACCAGGGACATCCTGGCAAAAAACGACACAAATTACCGCTTGAGTGTCCTATTCTGTGTTTCCATCGGTCTCGTTGGTCAGGATAACTCTGCTATGTTGCCTTCTGGTAATTCAACCCCTTCACTGGTGATCATGTTGCCCCTCCTTGATATTATCCGACCACAGCTGTCCAGTACAAGTGACATTACAATGTCTTTGCTGTAGATCTTGGTGATATTGATCAGCTTGATGTCATTCATGTAGAGGAGGTGAAGTCCTCTTGACAATACCCCATATAGGGTTCTGTGGGGTTCAGGTCAGATGAGTTGGCTAGGCAATTAAGAACAGTAATATCATGGTCAGAAAACCATTTGGTTGTAGTTTTGGCTCTGCGGGCAGGTGGTAAGTCCTGCTGGAAAAGGAAATTGTCATCTCCATAAAGCTTGGCAGCATATTGAAGCATTAATGTGCTCTAAAATCTCCTGCAGACAGTTGTGTTGATTTTGAACTTGATAAAACACAGTGGACCAACACCAGCCGATGACATGGCACTGTAAATCACAGACTGCAGAAATTTCACACTGGACTTCAAAAACCTTGAACTCTGTGCCTCTCCACTCATCCTCCAGACTCTAGGACCTTGATTTCCAAATTGAATGCAAAGTTTGCTTTTATCTGAAAAGAGGACTTTGGACCGCAGAGGAATAGTCCAGTTGTTTTTCTCCTTTGCTCAGGTAAGATCTTCTGACAGGGACGTGCTCAGGGCATGGCTCAGGTTGCCCGGGCAACTGCCCGTTAAAAGCACTTGGTTAAAAGTGCCCCTCACGGGGAAAATGGAATTAGTAAAAAATTAAATAATATGAACTGATGCTCAAAAGCATTGCCCTGACCTGACCGCAGATATCAACTTAAGCAAAACTGGCGAAATTTATTTTTAAAAACGTTGAATACTAGTAATAGTAGTAGTAGTAATAGTAGTAGTAAATTGTGACCGTGTTCTGGCAGGTCCTTAATAGATTCAAGTTTACTGCTGTTTGCGACACACACGTCCCTTGTGCGTACATGGCGTTGCCCTTTTTTCAGGTTTGAGCAACTGCCCCTAAAAAATCCTGAGCATGTCCCTGTCTTCTGATGTTGTCTCTGGTTTAGGGGTGTCTTGATAATAGGAATGCAAGAGCTGTAGCTCCTTTCCTGAAGACGTCTGTGCTTGGTGGTTCTTAATGTACCGACACCATCCTCCCTCCACTCCTTGTGAAGCTTTCCCAAGTTCTTAGACTGAGTTTTCTTGATAATCCTCTCAAAACTGCAGCCATCCCTGTCATCTTTTCCTGCCACACATTTCCTTCCCAGTGCATTAACATGCATCGATACAGCACTCTGAACAGCCAGCTTTGTCAGAAATGACATCCTAAGGCCTAACCTCCTTATGGAGGTTGTTAATGATGGTCTTCTGGACAACTTTAAAGTCGGGAGTCTTCCCCATGATTGTGCTTGCATGTATTGAATTAGACAGAGCGATAAATGGTATTTATATTGTTTGCATAGTAATTTACATAAACTCATAATAGAATGTTCTAATGTTTTGAAATACTGGATTTCAGATTTTCTGATTTTGAGCTATAAGCCACAATCATTAAAACTGAACCAAAAAAGACTTGAAATATTTCACTTTATTTGCAATGAATACAGAATATATGAAAGTTTATGTTGTTGAATTAAATTACCAAAAAAAAAAATTGTTTTTCACAATATTCAGATTTTTTTGAGCTGCACCTGTTTATATACAGTTTTTATGCTGTAGATATATTACTTCACCACTGGAAATTGTTTGGGTTATCAAACATGTTTCTGTCAAACTACATATGTCAAATGTACTGGAAATACGTACAGGATAACAGCTTTCAATACTGATGTGCCAGATATTTAGACTGTCTGAAACATGTACAGGTGTTATTTTAAAAGTCCGGACATCCCACTTACCACAGGTTTTGGTGGTACATCTGCTGAACATCCGGTCAGCTGACAAGGTGATTGGCTGTAATATCTTGATGCTCCAGGACCTATATGCCTCCAGAACCTTAAAGCGTGTTGGGAAGATTGTGTCTGGCCTCTCCCACCCTGGCTGCATACTGTTTGAGCCGCTTCCTTCTGGCAGGAGGTTGCGGTCCATCAGGAACAGAACCTCACGACACAGGAACAGTTTTTTTTTTCCTACAGAGACCCCCAGTGATTCTGCCCCTCCCCCCACCATAGACACTGACTGTATGTGTTACATCAACGCACAGCTTTTAAATAGGATTACTGTTATCCTATTGCACATTTCAAGTGCTTGTTTACAATACATGTTATTCAACCTTGTATATTCTTAGGTGACTAATTTGCACAGTCCTCCACACTGAAATATTTCTGCTACTTTTTGTATTTTGTATTTTTGTATTAATTTTTAATCTATATGTTTTTGTCTATGGTAATGAATCTGATTCTGAAAATATCTACCGTTAAGAGAGTAAAAATCAAACAAAGTATTAAATGTTTCCAATTTGCCAAAAAATGTAAACTTTATCTCTAACGTCATGTTGCTAAGTCAACATCTGAGCCAATCAGCTGTTAGATCAGGTGAGAGCCAGACGTTTCCCATCATGCTCTGAGGCCGCGCAGTCGCTGGAGATCTCCAAAAAACTGCAGCCGCCTTGATCTCGTGAGATTATCGTTGCATACGTTTAAATGACGTGAGAGCTAGTCGGTATCATATACGGTCAGTAACGAGTGCAGAAGAAATGCAACCGGCATGCATTGTGCGGTAATCGTCTGACTCACATCGAACTGTGTGTGTGTGTGTGTGTGTGTGTATGTGTGAAAGGCGTGTAGTCATCGAGCCAGCATCGATATATGTTTGTCTCTCGCTCGCGTGCGTTAGTGTACGTTGAAGGAAATTCGCTGCCATCCATGAACTGCAGACAAAAGTTGTAGTTGCCGCAAAGCTGTTGCCGTTGCCCCTGGAAGAAACGGACTATGTCGGCAAATAAAACAAAGAAGGTCAAAATGGCTACTAAATCTTGTCCTGAATGCGACCAACAGGTGAGGAAGCACATCATTAATTTTTAGATGTTTGTTCCAGAATGCTTCATGTACGTTTTCTGTATTTATTGATAGCAGTCATGGCAGCACACGGCTAGCTCCCAGCTCTGAAGACGGAAATGGAAGCCCAGTATCGCCAAATCCCACTCCACATTTAGACAAGTTAACCACTGGCTTTTCTCTATTTTTTTTTTTCCTATTTGCTATTTCCAACATTGCCGTCATTTAGAATGTCTGTCTGTTCACACTCATTTGCAGTGCGAACTCCCCGTGGCTTTCCGTCATGGCTTACTTTTTTTCACTTTTTCGTGGTCAGAAACGACAAACACACTTACATACTTGATGTAGTTTTAAGTTCTTATTATCCCTTTTAACAAGAATTTGGATAATACGAACAGGAGAACAGATGAAACGTAGCTGCTTGTTTCCAGCAGCATGGAGGGTTAGCTTTGTTCGTCTGTTTTGTTCTATGGCGGCTGGTATGAAGAAACCTATTTTCTTTATAACCTTTTGAGTTATTAAAGTGAAATAGTGATGGATTGCATCAATCATACATTAATAATATGGACATTTTCGCACGATCTAGATTATAAAAATAAATAAACCAGAAATCCAAAAACAGAAATGTCATAAATAACCCACTGGCAATATTTTAAATAGCCCTAAAATTTCACAGATCACATTTTTAGGAGTCATGAGCGATATGTCCACTTATGTGTAATGTCCATAAATTGTACCAATTCCCCACATTTAAATTGCTTTCAAATATATACATTCATTCATTTGGATTCTAACAAAATCAATATTAATAAATGTGTGTTGAAAGTTCGACCAGCTGGCCCACTGCAGTGTCTGCAGGTTTTGTTGCTTCAGCACTGGCTACGTTTATCGGAACATGCAACCATCTGTGGTTGATTCTCCTGCTAATGTATTTTCCTCTAGTGTATTTTACTTTAAAGTGTTCTTCTGCATTGTGCACACTTAAGTTTTACTGACAATGACCCATTTTCAATCATAACCGATCAGTCGTCATGGGTCAAGTCAACAATACTATTTAGGTGTTGTTTTAGTGGAACATTTGCATGCAGGCAGATGAGCTCTGTCATTAAAGTCGACAATTTACCACAACAAAACTAGCAGGTCTGCCTTTACTGCACAGATCAAAACCTCAGCAAAACTGTGGTAGGTAGCTAGCAAAGAGGATATTGTTGCTTGCAGCAATGAAATGGTGACAGCAACACACACATAGTGGAAAGGAAGAACAAAGCCGCCTGAAATGAGTGGCCAATGGCAGACTTATACCCCCATCCTAAATCCAGTGAGTGAGATTATTTTAAGAATCTGGCAAGTCTGTATTTATGTGTTCTGGCAGAACAAGACTCCCGAGAACAATGACTCATGCTGTGTATCATTAGATTAGTACTGGGGCAGAAAAATCACGATTTTGCAATTTTGGAAAAAAATGGGATTTCAGTGTTTTGTTTTTCTGCGATACATGTTGCAATTTAGGAAAATACAAGCATTTTCACCAGATGACTCAAATTGCTATTTGGAGAGATATTAATATTTTAAAGTGATTGACAGCAATTTAAAAATCGCTGACAAATTAGTTTTTACTGTGGAGACATTTTTTGAGTGCAAACCAAACTTTTCGCATGTCTGATAAGACTGGCAAAGACATCCACAGTAGTTCTTCTGCTTTGGATGGTCAAAGGAATTTATCAAGTTGCTTTGTGTGGTGGCAACAAATGCAAGGCAGTACTGACACCTGAGGGGTGTACGACAAAGCAAGTTTGATGTAGCCGGGCTTTCTTTGTGTAAGTCGGCTCAACAAAAACTAAAGCCCCAGTCAGAGATCATGGGTATCACAAAGGTGGTTATCAACTTTCTTTGTGAACTCAGGCTTTTTGCCTCAATCTCTGCGCGTTCATATAAAAGGGGGCACTTAATGCGTAGTGTGCCTCTTCTGCACAAAATGAAACGATTGTGTTCAGCTGCTTCAGTCAACAGATTGTGTTAATGGAGAACAATGAGGACTATAAAAATTTGTGATGATGCACTTTATTTTACTGATCAATGTAGCTGCTTATTTCTAAGACAGCTGCACAGTTAAGCTGTTAACCTTTCAACTTCATATGTATATATAAACATGATATTGTATTGAAGGGCATTTGGGTCTGACACTGTCACATAATAATTTTTGGCCAAATCAAAGTGAAATTAATGTTACTGACCTAATATTCTCTGTAACAAATATTAGCAGAATAAAGCATTTTCTTGTCTGTATTTTATCAGCTGCAGTACCAGCAGTGTAAACAGACTTGACAGCAAATTAGAGCCAATCATAAAAACATATTTACTTAATATCTGGTTACGGTGCAGCTTTTAATTCTGTTATAATGCTGAACAGTTTAATAAAAGACATTGCATAATATTTCTTTTGTGAGTAAAACCTGTGATACTGTCCCCAGTGCTCTGATCATCCCATCAACACAACATTAATAGCTATATAAATTTAAATTCTTATACAGTGCGTATGAGAGAATAAAGCAATCTTTATTCAGTTCTTAAGTTGTTTAGTAGTCTCTCTACTACAACAATCAAAAGTACCACTAAGAATACTGTTAAAATACCGGACCGATAAGCAGTATTGGTAAAAGTAGTAGTCTGGTTAAAATATTAACAATACCATCCCTACCAGTTACTGTAGCATTACAACTCAAGCCTGTTTTAGACCTGGGATATGAAACGTTGCTGCTTCATTCGTCTGTTAAAGTGATGACGTTCTGTCTTTCAGACAGAGGTTACTGTTAGTCAGTGTATCTCACAGCTTCATGATCTTAAAAACAAAAAAAAAAAACAGAACACTTTTTCATTTCTGAACATATCACACTCGTAAATATGAATGGATGTTAATGTTTTCTTATTTTCATAGAACATTTTCACTTTTAAGGATATGTGCCTCCATACAAATTGTCTGGCAGCAGTTGAAGAGCTTTAGTAAAGCTTTTGTTTTCTTCAACGCAAAGGAATCTTCTTCCTCTATGTTACTGATAATTGAGGCAAAAATTGTAATTGTAAAAAAGTGTAATTTACAGTCTTGTCTTTGATACTGTTCACATGCTCATATGGAGGCATGTCTGTTTAAATAGTGAAAAGTGAAGTAGTCCTTCACAGTACCACGGCACCCGTGTGATATCTGTCATTCACACAAGATTACACTTAAATGAAGTAATGTATAATGCAGTAACAAACAAAAGGCAAAAATATACAGCCATAGCTGCTTATCAAACTGTCCAAATACTAATAACCAAGTTTATTTAGTTACTGGTTTTGTTTGGTTAAAGCCCACGACACTCTTGCTTTGGAGCTGCTCATCTGCCCATATTGATCCTCCTACTGTGTGATGCTGCAAGTATTTGTTAAATTCCAATTTTGAAGAACAGCTCAAAGCCAAGGATTAAAAGAAACAAAAAACACAGACACCAATAATTATTAGTATCATCTACCTAAGCTGTTTTTTTGTTGTTGTTTGTTTTTAATGTTTTGCTATTATGGACATTTCATTTTCTATCCTAATAGATTTAAAATTGTAGAGCAAAATGAAGGCAAACATGTGTTGAGTGTGTGTTTTGCACTCTCTGTGATGTTTTGGGATGAATATTTTTCCTTTAAATGTGAAAACGGTCTTCCCCAAAATTTTTCGCACAGGTCAAAGTGCCATTGCTTGTGTGTGCACCTTGTGTGTTTACTGGTGAAACTTTTATGGCTCATTGATCAGGGTTCATATTCAAACAAGAAACTGACATGTTCAGTTGCTTTCAGATTAACGGAACAGAGAACAAGTCTGAAAGGGGCTTCAGATGGTGTCCAGTGCAACCTAAATTAAGATGTTGTAATATCAGGTTGAAAACCAACTGATTTTATCTACATGGGCTGTTTCTATGAGCGCCGTTTTAAATGTCAGTATCACAGTCAATCATGTTCATTGAATTATGGGATGCCAAAATCATGAGCACCCCTGCGATTGATGTTTTGTTTCTTTATTACAGCCAAATCTTGGTTTTCAAAGTTTCTTTCCTGTTCCTTGTGTAACTGTGCATACCTGTAGTGTGCATGTCAACAACTTCTGTCTTTTAAATAAAGTTTTAAACTTGTAAATGTGTCTCTGTCAGCCCACATTGTACATGAGGTTCGGTCAGACAGACTTCTCTTGTATATTAATCATTAAAAATGAGAACTGTGAAACTTGTCTTCATATGTCAAGCAGCAAAAAAAGTTATGACATGATTTGTTTGTGTAAATGTGCTTACTTATGTCACATTGTACTTAGTGCAATATGACCATTGCACATGTGCAGATTGCAATGTTGATGCTAAAACTATATATTATGCAGCCCTATCTGAAAACATTGCTCATATATAGTTGGAAAAGGCTTTCACATTTATTTATTTTTTTGGCATTCAGATCTGGCTTTTCCACTTGTCACACTCGAGCTTTGTGCAGTTTCAAATGGTTAAACAAATTACTTGTGTTGGCCTGTGTTGTACAAACCATTTTAAGACACTGCTGGCAGATGTTTTAGTAAACATTCAAGATTCATAAAAACTTAAACAATCTGTTGCTTGGTTCCATAATTCTGTTTGCCCTGATCAAGTGCCTTGAGTATAGATGTCTTTGAGGACAGAGAATGCTGTGCCCATGGTACGCTCTGCTGACCCCAGCACCCTCTGTAGGGCTCTCCTGTTGGGTCCCCGCAACCACTGGATGTTGCTCAGTCAGTGCTCCTTTCTGATCTAAAAAAATTCTCAGAAACTTCATTGAGACTCTGAATTTTCTCAGCTGTATACAGGCGCTGTCTTGGTGTCTTCATTTGGTTGTCATTTGTTGTTTGGTCCATTACAGATCCTCAGAGATGTGTATTCCCAGGCCTGATGTATCTGGCCAGTCATCAGGCATCCATTTCTAACCAAAATATTTCCATACAACTAAAGTTAGCTTTTTTTTGGTTGGTTGGTTTTTTTGGATGTATTTCCAGTTTGGTCAGTGTAGTTAGGGTCAGGTAGAGATACCCAAGCTTCAGTAAGAAGTCCTCTTTTGATTGTATATATTTATTTCATTTAAGTAACACCCTTTGCCCTTAGTTCCTATTAAATCTTTGCATTTTGTTAAAATACATGCTTTTAAATAAATTCACCTCAATGTCCAACACAACAAATCCGCACAGAATAAACCTTTTATGACAACTGTATGTGATTATTCTAAGATCTTCTTTATGTTTTCTGTTTGTTTCTCTTTAGATTCCAGTTGCATGCAAGTCATGCCCGTGTGGTTATGTGTTTATTAGCAGAAAACTCCTAAATGCCAAGTTGAATGAACGCTCTTCTCCAGCAATAGCAGGTAAGGTTCAATTTGCTGCAAGCTAACGATTTATGTATGTAAAGTAGTTTGACCTTTTCTTTTTCTCAACATTTGATTCTGCTGTGTTCTAATGTGCCTCAAAGCAAAGTTCTTGTAGTTATTATGAAATATTATTTCTCCTTATTTTTTCATTATTATTATTATTAGCAGTCAGAGCCCCAATGGCATCAGTACCCTGTTGTTTTGTTTTAATTTTAATTGTTAATAGGGATCCAAGCACTAATGGTTTTGGAACCATACCATTCAATACTTTTTATCCACATGTTTCTTAAATGTAGAAGTCCTGCTTATATCGGTGTTGTGGGAGTTGTGCAGTTAAGTGAATATGCAAATATGAGTTTGGAAACTGGTCTGGTATCCATCTCCACAAGGCTTTTCTGTTTGGCCAGTCTTTGGCTTTGTTTGTGGTAGGAGTACGAATGTGCTGTGCAGCAGTTGTCTTGATGAATTTGGACATTAGGACATTTAGCAATGGTATTGCATAGCAAAATCGAAGGACGAGAGGAAATACAGTGTGCTGTTATGTTATGCCGGGGGGGGTGAGGTTGTGTGTGCTTGATTCAGACATACCCTCCCATACTGTTGCAGATAGCTGCAGAGATTTGTCATACAGAGATTGGACAGTACATCAAGTGATTGATGCTGCAGCATAACATATTAATAAGCTAAACTGAACTAAACTGAAGTGTCATACACAGTGTGACTTGCTGTTAGATGCTGATCGATCCAGTTTCCATGTTGGGAATCATTTACAATATTAAAAATATAACGGTAACACTGCTGTGTGAGAATATATGCAACTTTCTCTATTTGGAGATACGGACGTATATGAATCCTTCTGCTACCTGATGCTTCAGGTGTTTAATAACACCAAAATGATTATTCTGTCATTAATCGTAGCAACTGGACTTGCTTGAGTTCCTTGAAGATGTTTCACCTCTCATCCAAGAGGCTTCATCAGTTCTGACTAGTTGGAAGTTCCAGATACTTATATTCTTAAGGAGCCATTAACACCTGAGCTTCGGTTTCAATTGGGGGTTGTTACTCCCCCTCCTCGTTATGTGAGTCGTTAGTTACTAACAATTGAAACTGAAACTTAGGTGTTAATGGCTCCTTAGGATGTAAATATCTGGAACTCCCAACTCGTCAGCCAAAACTGATGAAACCTCCTGCATGAGAGGTGAAACGTCTTCAAGGAACTCAAGCAAGTCCAGTTGCTACGATTAACCTACCAGAATAGCCATGACCTGGATGACTGAGAATCTTCACAGACAACATCAAAAGGAAGACTCCTACAAACAGTTACAATCAGCAAGCTAAAGTTTAACTGCTGTTAATGTTTTGTCAAAACCTGGAAAAAACTGGCACCTCTGACCTTTCTTGTACAGAGCCTCCGTGTTTTTAATCCAGTCCGTTTTATTGTTTATGTGGACACTGAGATGCTTGTAATCCTTCTAAATGGTCCTGTTCCTCCTGAAATACATCACCAGCTCCTTAGTTTTCATGATGCTGAGTTGTAGGTGGTTAATCTGACACCATACCACAAAGATGAAAGATGATGTCATCTTCCATTCCAATGTGAGGCTGGTAGTCAAACTGCAGGGGGTCCAGCGGTAGCTCATCTATTCATCGTCAGTGCTTCATGACCAGCCTCTCCAGTGACTTCATGGCGTGTGAAGTCAAAGCCACTGGTCTGTCGTCACTGAGGGTGTTTGGGTACTTTTCCTTGTTACAGTTAAGAGAAGCTGTAGTGAGCAACTAAACCTGGCGAGCTGCAAGGCTGCTGCCCAAATTGTAATGGCTCACCTTGGAAGCAGTGAGTAGTAAGTTGGTTGTAGAAATTCTGGCATAGCTGTTATAACATTAAATAACAAAACACTTTGTTATTCCCTATATTGTATGCAATATTGAATTTACCAACAACCGAACAGTTTATCCAGATTCCCCAAGGAGATGCACGAATACAACAGCTTTTATAGTGAAAAAAAAATCTATAACTTATATTCATTGGACAGTTAACGTAGTATTGTAAGTTTAACCCTGCGATCAGTTTTCTGTATCACATAAGAAATGCTGAGCCCAACTTTCCAAAGACAAAGAGCCTAATATGGAAAGAAAACATTTATCTTTCTGTAGACCTCAAGCTTTTATCCTCTGGCCCCTTTTCTTTGAAATTAATGCAACCTTCACACAAACATGCTGAGCTAGTTTAGAGTTACTCTATAAACATTAAATGGTTACACTAGAAACAATATTGTATATACATAGAATGAACAAATAAGTGATCAACAAATAAAAAAAAGATAAACTAAGAATTTACAATTGATTTTACTTTGACAAGGTACAACTGTAACCATCTCATCCCTTCTCATCGTTGTTGAGGTCCTGACACGAGTTTTTAAAAAAAAAAACAGGTACTCAGCAGTCAACGAGCACTCCATCAGACTGAAGAAATGACAGAACAAATCAATCAGCCTGGAACCAATCTAACACAGAAATGCTGGTCATATGTTTTATTTATTTACTGTGTTTTCTGCTTCAGACAAGTTTGACTTTAAGCGGAGGAGGACAGAGCGCATTCGCAGAGAAAGGATTGACTCTCCTTTAACTCATGACATGGAAAACAGGAGAAGGCCCCGGGCCAATAGCCAATCAGATCCCATCCGACGGGGACGGGGGAGACCAAAAACTGTGGGGCTGAAGAAACATGAAGAGGAGAAAGGTAAAATGAGTGATATTATTGTTTTGTTAGCCCATTTTAAATAGTTGTGTAGTCTTTTTGCTTTGTGAAGTAATGATATACAGTAAGGCCCTTGCTTGCCATCAGCTGAACTGGGGATTTCGTTAATAAGGGCAGTTTTTTTTTTTTTTCAAGCTGAATGCACCGTTTTATACCCAAATTTGAGCCTGCTCTCTGGACTTCTCTGTGAAGTCAGAAATTGATCAGTCATAACATTCAACCACTAAAAATTTTTTTGTTTTTTTTTCTGTTCAAAAATACAAGTAAATAAGTATAATTTGACATCTTAATCAATAAATAATAATGTGCTTTCCTATTTTTTCTTTTTTTTTTTGTAAAACAGTACATTTGAAAATTCATGGATAACAACGACAGTTGTATTTTAGCATTAAAAATATAACTTTGGTTAAAGAGCTTCTATATACTGGTGTATTAACCGTTACAGAAACATAAGAAATGATTTTGGTAATTACCAATGCTGTTAATTTAGGGCAGCTGTGGCATAAAGCTGACATTGGGTGGTGGTCTAATACATTTCTTACGTACTGTATGTATGCGAGTGTGTGTACATATACATACATATAATTGGACATTATTGAGCTGGTAGTACATACAGATATTAACTTTCCAAAGTTCTGTTGATACCATGTTTAATTCTAAAAAAATAAATGTAATTTCCTACTTAACATTTGTCTCTCTGTTAATGATCGAGGTATTACAGACCTTAGTTTCATAGTTATATTGCGCTTTTATATTTTAATTCTGACTTCTGGTAGCTCTCTTTTCCACCATGCCTGTGTTTGCATCCCTGAGATCAGGGCTTTTCAGGAATCTGTGGAGCCCCATTCAACTAAAATGAAAATGTATACCTGCTGGCACTTCTTTACACATCATACATTGGCGCTTCACCAACACACCTGGAACATTAAAGAAGAATCAACTTCAACTGAATGTCAGCCTGTATTGTTGTGGCCATTGTTGAATACCTATTGGCTAAAGGGGTTTTCTGTAATGTGTGTTTTTTATGTGTTCACAGAAAAACAAGAGAAGGAAGTGGATATTTATGCCAGTCTCTCTGATGAAAAGGCCTTTGTGTTTTCTGTGGCCTTGGCTGAGATAAACCGCAAGATCCTAGGTCAAAGACTCATCTTATAAATGAAAGCCTGAACAGTGAAACCTAGCAGAGAGGACCTATAAAGTAGCAAGAGAATGACCAAAGAGAGAACAACTGGCTGGAGCTGAACGTTGACCTGGGCTTGTTACACTTGGAAAATGGGACAAGATTCAGAGAACTGAAAGAAGCCAGAGTTCTTTGACACCTTAAATTAACCACAGACATATAGATATACAGTCAGGTCACAAATTAAAGGAAAACCTGATCCCTTGACCCTACAGAGAGGGGATCTAGTGACTCTGTTATGCTGTGTGGGGCAATGTGCAGACATGCTTTCAGTCCAGTGGTTCCCTGTAGAGTGAAATGTCACTGCAAATCAGTAGAAACCGTTTTGTGTGACCTCTAGCCAACGATGACACCTTTCAATCCTGATGGGAGTGGTCTCTTCCAGAATGACAATGCCCCCATCCATAGGTAAATGGTAGAGAAATATGAAAAGGATTTTTTAAAAAATATGTGAATTACCATCATCAAAACACCAAATGAGGGACTGTCTTCTTTATCCATCTGTAAAGGTGTTCTGGTGGCCAGACAACTTACTAAGACTATTTATGTTGGGGTTTCCTATAATTTGTCACTTATCTATATCATTCTGTACAAACATATGAGTATAATGTAAATGTTGTATGACATACATTATTCTTGATAGAACCATGTAATAAAGGCAGTGTTTGATGTCATTTTCCACCTGTTCTATAGATGCACACATCGGAAACTATGATGTGGATGTATCTGGATATATACAGTTTTCTGAAGGCCTAGTTTGGCTAAGTTGAAATGAGTTTAATTTAAGAGGACGCTGAAGTAAAGAAATACTGCATTCATTTTATATGAAATAAATGGCCTTTGTTATCAAGTGAACATCTTCAGTTAGCTTATTGGAAGGAGCTGTTAGAAGTGACTTTGTGATACCTGCATGTTTCCTTGTTTGTTTTTCAAAGAATCTGCCTCATTGGGTGACAAATAAAGGTTTTATGGTTGCTGGTATATCGACACAGAAAAAGAAGTGGAACTTTTTTGACCAGATTTACACCATCATAGAAATGGTTTGTATTGTTCTATCTATATTGAAAACCATTGGCACATATCAATGAGCCTGCAGGATGTCATAACTCTAGCTCGCTACATTATTTCTCAAGTTATGACACTTCAAACATTGCTCCACAGATTGGCATGACCCTATGAATCCAGATTTTTACACATTTCACTTAAAATAAAAAAAAAAAACAATGGGCAGCAGCTGCAGCAAACAACTGGTTGTAATAAAAAACAAAGAAGAAGAAAAAAAACAAGAAGAATGAAAAAAACGGCTACTACAACAAATAAAACAAAACAAGAATGCTAGAAAAAAGCTAAAAAAGGCGTCATGAAGTAATTATGCTGATCAACAAAGCAGCTGATAAAAAACATAATATAGTAAAAAACAGCAAAAACGGACAACACCCCACAATAAAGCAGAATACTGCAATAATGGGCCAAAAAAAAAAAAAAAAAATCATACTAATGAAAGAATCTCCGCAATAAAGAACACCAGAAGAATAATCTAATCCGCATTCAATCAGCTGCCCTACCAGCAGTGTAAATGGACCAAACCTAAAAGCAAATTTCGGCCATTTCTGAGTCACCAGCGGAATACATGCTCTCGATCAGTAACCTTAAAGTAGGTCACACATGATCGTTTCAATTTGTGCTACTTTTTTCTTTCACGCTTGAGTAGCTCAAAGCTTGATTAATTTTACTCTCTGCAGGGTAGATCTGGAGTTTACAAATTCAGTGGCCAATTTTCTTGAAAGATTATCAATAATTCCTGAAGTCTCAGGTTATTTTCAGAAACCGGTTTGAAATAAAACTGAGTAAAACTGCAAAAGAAAACTTGCAGTCAGACCAGTTTTTAGGTTTGTTTAAATTTATAGGCGTGTTCTTGCTCAATCGAGTGGTAATAAGAAGTACATACATTTGAAATTTGTGTTGTACAGGAAGATACAGTCATTGTGTTTGTGAGTTGTTACAGTCATCTCACCTGATCATTTCAATCAGCTTTGTTCTTCCTTCCAGCAACCTACAAAATGTCAAGTTTCACAAAGGGTTTAGATTGTGCAGTAAGGCAGCCCTGCAGTGGACTATCAATTTGAATAACTGCTTGTCTTCTTGCATGCAAATGTTCCACCAAAACAACTCCAATCGTCATTATTTTGAGGGAACAGTGAAGCCGTATCCTTTGTTTAGTCCTGCCTAAGACCACTGTGATCGGTTTAAAAGAAATACCAACAAGCCACAGCATTTATTCCCTTATAACTGTGGTGCAGCCAGACCAGGATGTACTACAGAATGAGCTGGCAAAGAGAGACTACTGGGACTCTTAACTCTGAGATCGGATCGACTGTTTTAAATGCCAAGCTGTAGTGCATGAAGAGCATCCAGACATAGCTTTGTTGTTGGCTTAACGTGGAGTAAAGCGATCAGCCTCATTTGAGTAACATTAAAGAGCTTGGACTGCTGCACATGGACTGACTCAGAGTTTGCATCAAATAAATATGATGACAGATTGAAGAAATGTATCTCAAAAGATGTAACTAATTATTATTTATTTGTCCACAAGGGGGCATTTTAGAGCTTTGAAGTGCCTCAGAATAAATATGGACTGGGTTCGGATGACTTTTACAGATACTTGCAGGTCAGACACTATTTCAACCAAAACCCTGAAAGAGGCTTTGGGAAAAGGGGTTTCAGGGTTCCTGCAGGTCTTTTTTTATATGTAAAACTCTCAGAACAGTCTCCTCTCTCTGTACAAAGGGGAGTCACTGGACAACTTTATTGGAGAGGGTAGGCATGACTTTTTGAAGCAATCCTTGAAGACACCTCCACCTGAAAACACTCTGCTGGTTGATTAGGTATAAATCAAGCTCAGCTTTTGTCCTCACTCTACTCTCACTTATGCGAAAGCCACTTTTACATTGCTGAAAGAAATCCTGTTCATTGTTTTCTTTGCTCTTTGTTATTAGTGTGACTGCTTTCAGCAATTACACTAATAAATGTAATGGTTGATTTATTATACATTTTTACAAAATAATGTATTTTTTAATGCCATTATATAGAAATCTTGGAAACATGCTGAAGAATTGTGAATAACTTTAAAAAATATAAATGCTTGAAGACTGAAATTTTCCTATACTGTAGTGCTTCGTATAGTCAAAAATGCAAACACAGTGTTTTCTTTCTTTACATATTAATATGTGAATTCAACATGTCATACATGTTCATATCCATATGTAGATTCATTATGTCTGCCAAATTGTATTATATCTTTATTTTTTAGCTCCATTGTACTTCAGTTCTTTCATCTTTCTTTTTATTTCTTGTCCTTCTTTCGTGCCTTATCTAGATCCAGCTGCTGTAAAATGTAAATTTCCCCAGTGAGGGATCAATAAAGTTTATCTTGTTTTATCTTATCTTATCTTACTGGCGCTGCCATGTCGTGAGAAACAAGCTAACAAATGTTGTGAAATATTTTGGCAAATATCTCCATAACCATGAGGCACAGCAAAACGTCCATCCATCCATCCATCTGTTTTCTATACACCGCTTAATCCTCACTAGGGTCGCAGGGGGCTGGAGTCTATCCCAGCCAACTCAGGGTGAAGGCAGGGGACACCCTGGACAGGTCACCAGTCTATCACAGGGCCACACTTAGAGACAGACAACCAAGCACACTCACATTCACACCCACAGACAACCCAGAATCACCAATTAACCTCAACATGTTTTTGGACTTGTGGGAGGAAGCCGGAGAACCCAGAGAGAACCCACGCTGCACGGACATGCAAACTAGACGTGAACCGGTGACCTTCTTGCTGCGAGGCAACAGTGCTAACCAACTGCGCCACCTTGCAGCCCACAGCAAAACGTTTCTGCTGTATATGGATTCAACTGACATGCAGAAGAGATCCACTTAGGACACGGCCATTCACAACATTACAAATTCGATTTAATGTTGGACATACTTTTGTTCTGCATTTTTTATCCAATCTTCACCAAACTTTGTACATATCATATTTGGAGCAGCTCAAAATTGCTGATATATTTTGGGATATCATGTGTTGTTAATTCATGATTGGCTAACAAACTTTTGTGGGTGTGAATTCAATCTGCTTTAACTCTTAAACGAGTCCTCCATTTAGTCCCAAATTTGTTGGGACACGTCAGTAAATAAATACAAATTGGTACTACCCCCCTATGGTAAAGCTTGAAAACATGGTTCAACTTTTGAAATGTCAAGAAATCAAATTGATTCAGAGTAAACACTTCATGGTTTCATGTTCAGGTTAAGTTTAGGTAAATGTTGCATGCGTAGTTAGTTAGAAGCAAACTGTACTTAATGTAGTTTAATGGTCTGCACTTGTATACAGTAGCTCCTTTCTACCTTAGTGGTACTGAAAGCACTTTACAATGTGTTTCTCACTCACCCTTTCACACACACATTCACACACCAATGGAGCAAATTGGGGTTCAGCGTCTTGCCCATGGACACTTTGGCTTTGAATTTGACACTCAACCACCAACCTTGCAATCGATGGACAACCCACTCTACCACTTGAGCCACAGCCACCCCTGAGTTGTCATGGTGTGTTTGTTAACTAAATATCTAAATAATAATAATAATAATAACAATGTGAATATATAGTACATTAGTAATGTCTACAGTGAAGTCTAAAAAAGTTTCATATATGATTTAATGCACCTTAGAATATGCAAAAGTTACCAAAACATGAAATTCTCCAACTCTCTATCTCTGAAATGCATGCTTTTGAATTCTCTAGCTTTCCAGAGTTACAGTGCTTCTCATCAACCCTGGAAATAGCCAAAAACACAGGCTCAAATGTCATGTATAGCAGTTAGACCTATAGTTACTGTTGTTATGGCCAGGCTCATGTTGACAGCAACATCAGGGTGAGACACACTTGCATGTAGAGGGGCCAGGGATCGAACTGCCAGCCTTGCAGCTGACAACCCACTCTACCACCTGAGCCACAGCTGCCCACTGGTAATACCAGCTCTAATCATATCTAAAAAGCTGTTGGAAAGAACATTTTAACATCTTCATTCACTTGCAAGGACCACGCCATCGATAAGATGCACACAATATCTTTTTAAGTGAGAATTTAAGTGTGATGTTGATTAGAGGCAAGCTAAGTGGCTATGGTGGGGGGATGGCATCATTGTGGATCAGCTCCTGGGCTGGCAGATCCCTACCTGAAAGAGGGAGGATGAAGCGAGGCAGACGAAAAGGCAGGAAGGGTGGTGCACAGTTAACAAGAACAAGCAGTGTGCTGTCTTAAGTAGAGACCAACATAACTACAGTAGTGAGACAGATATCACTGCCGAGTCCGCTGGAAAGCCTCTTCAGTGAACGCTGAGTCCTGGCACTGAACGGCAGTGTCAGGACTCAGTGTCACCTTTTTTTTTTTTCATTTTTTTTTTTTAAATTTCATACCTCTCAGGTATAAACTCTGTAGAGCACTGCCTTTTATATTTTTATTAATATATAGTACTATCAACCAGAATTAAACCTAGCAAAAAGGAACCCTACTCATTAAAAATAAATCAAACAAATAGTAAACTCACATCACACTTAAGAAAAATGTTTAGGGATGAGGAGGTTATTTATTCAGGGTGACAGAAGCTTGATCATTTCTATCATAATATTTACATGAACATTTTCTTCAGATTTAAACATTGAGGTAAAATATGTCAATGTGAGTCATTTACCTTGGAAAGAGATTGCAGCAGGGTGCACTATGGCAAGAAGGAAAACAGGCAGAGGCAGTGCGATGGTCTGGCCAGTATTTTGCTGGGAAACGAAGGGTCTTGACAGTCATGTGGATGTTGCTTTGACACACAGCACCTACATAAACATTGCTAATCCCCATAAAGAGTTCAGGAAAGGTCCAAGATCTCAGTCCTTTCAAACTCCTGTGAGATGTGCATGAAAACAAATCCAATACACAATGCTTGATACCACAGGACACCTTTAGAGGTCTGTGAAGTGTTGTAGGGCCCACATAAGGCTTCTGTGTTAAATTAGTGATAAATGACATACATTTCAGATCACAAGAGTATTATCTTCCTGGACAATAGTCAGTGTTTTTCAGTTTATCAGTAATATGAAGCCTAAAATGTTCTTTGAGGTATGGCAGGTTAGCATTATTCAGTCTTGATGATAAACGAGGAAAACATTCCACATTTATTCTTTTCAGGAGATTGGTAAGCATTTTATATATAGTCAAGTACAGTTAATAATCCAGGGACAGTCAGTTAATATGATTCACACTTGCACATATTTTAAGTGTTGAGAGACCAGAGTTTTAAATTGCTCAGTGTAACATTCACTTGTTCTCATATCCTTATGTTAATTTAAGATATGAGTGAGAACGTCTTCTCCACGCCTTTGCTATAAAGATAAAATCCTTTAACAGTCAAATGTTACAGCTCTCTCCCCTTGGGTGCAGGTGTCTGACCGATGAGTCATGTACCTCCACAAACAGAAAAGCCAATGTGACTATGAGACTATATAAACAGTAACCAGGCAACCAGGTCAAAGATCTGAATTGTAATTGTCTGAACTTTGTTTTAAAGGCTCTGCAGCACTGTTGAGAAAATACATTTATATTTAATATCCCATGCAGATGGTGCAAATACATAATCAACTCACGAAGGACAGAAAAACTACGACCAGATACCACTTAACAGATTTACAACCGTTTCCTTACAACAGCTGAGATTACAGCAGCTTAGATAACAACTTTTGGTGATTAATCAGAACAAAAAGCCAACTGGTCTCTATGTTTACGAGTTTTAACACATTGTCATGTTCATGTTCAGAGGAAGAGAGGGGAGTAACCGATGGTCTTTAGGCTCCTCCCCATGAACTTTGGAAAGTTTTTTCTTTAAACTTTCTATTCACTTAGCAGTCAGATGCTCTGTCCTTTTCATGTCAGCCTGAGACGAAACATCACAGAAGTAAGTACACTTGGAAATAATGAAATAGTACAAAAGAAATAATGTGATGATAAAATGTGGTTGGCAAACGTTTGCTATAAGTGAAACATTTTGTTTACATACGTGTGCACGTGTGTAAATCTGCCCTCTTCTGGGAGATACTGTTGTAGGGCAAAGTTGTTTCAGTCACGGTTTGCTAACCTGCTGCTCATTACCTGTTTGTTTTATAGGATTTGCAAAAAGGGTTGCAGCAGATTATTAAAGTTTTATTTGTTGTTGTTTCTCACTCACAACATGCTGTACAGTTGTGCATTGTAGGGAATTGTATTTTATGGTAAGGTATAGTACTGCATTGTGAAATATGGAAATATACTGGTTCAGAGAAGAGAAACACCTTCATTATCATGCTGTCTGTCTCTATCTGTGCTATTCTTTCAGAAACTACATTTAAATATATGAGTCAAACTAACAAAGCAAATAATGCACACTTCTCCAGCTGAGGCAGTGATCCAATCATGTAACATAGACAATTAACCTCTCCTACATTCTCTTTTGTGGCCCGGTGTCATCTCAGTGCAAAGTAAGCTCTGTATAATGGACGATCACACATATTTGCAGATCTCAGCCAAGATCAACAAGAGTGTAGCAAAAAATCACAAATGAACAGTCATTAAGACACACTGTGCATAAAGACTTCTGTTTGTAGAGTTCTTCAAGGTAAATATTCTGACTAATTATTTAAATGTGGGTCTGAAATGAATTAGAAGCTGCTGGAACATCAACGTCCACAGTTAAATGTGTTCTATAGTGCAATGAGCTGAGAAAATACTGTGCAAGAAGGAAGCCCTTTCTCCAGAAACTACAGCTTAATGCTTGACTGAAGTTTACTGCTGAAAACATGAACAAAGAAAAGGCTCTCTGGAGAAAATTTCTGTGGTTTTTGAAACAAAAATGTAACTATTTGGCCGCAATGACCAGAAAGATATTTTGAGGAGAGAAGGTGAGGCCATTAACCCCAAGAACACCAAACCAGGCATGGTGGTGGTAGTTTTATGCACTGGGGCTGTTTTGATGCCAGTGGAAGTGATGCTTTACACAGAGTAAATGAAATATTGAAGAAGAAGGATTACCTCCACATTCTTCAGGAAAACCTAAACTCATCAGCCAGAAGTTTGATCTTGGATGTATTTGAATGTCCCAACAAGACCATGACCCCAAACACACATCAAAGCGCTAATGAAATGGCTAAACCAGGCTAGAATTAACATTTTAGACTGGCCTTTCCATAGTCCTGATTTAAACCCCATCAAGGACCTGTGGACTGGGCTGAAGAAACAAGCCAGTGTCAGAAACCCAACAAATCCAGTTGAACTTCACACATTTTCTCAAGAGGAGTGGTTAAAGATACAACTAGAAGCTTGCCAGAAGCTTGTAGACGGCTACCAAAAGTGCCTAGTTGAAGTGAAAATGGCTGAGGGATATTCAATTAAATATTAGCATTGCTGTAAGTATATTTTTGACCAAACAGAATTTGTCATATTTCCAGATGATGTACAATAAATCTATGAAAGAACAAACATGCAAAATTGTTTTTTTTTTTTGTTTTTTTTCTTGTTTTGTGACAAAGACACATTGATATCAATGATTCAGTTCTAGAAAATCTGAGTTATAGAAGTCATTGGAAACTCAAGACTGCTATTGATGTACCTGGTCCTTACATACGTATGTAAACTTTTGTTCATGACTGTGTATAAAGTTATGGCCAGAATTCAATAAACCTGAGCCACACTACAATTCATAGTAAAGTTTTATTTCATCAACAGGTCTCTTTTGGCTGCAAATGACATAAAAGTGACAAAAGACAATAGGACATTGTTTGAAATTTTAAATATTCCCCTCCCTGGCTGGAGGTGAAGTGGGTTCTGTTGTTTAGAGACCTGTCTTTCCATAGAGGTTACCTGAGTGTCTGGGAACAGTTTCCATTTTTGAACCTTGCTGAAAAAATCTGTTGACTTTATAAATGTACATATGTATATATATATATATATATATATATATATATATATACACAAGGGAAAATTTTCTTTTCACATATCCCAGGAAACTGAGGTCAGCCACTCTAAGGTGCCAGTGGTGCAGATAGGGTTGAGGACTTTGCTAAGGGGTCCAGCAGTGGCAGCTTGAACCACCAAACTTCTGATCAGTAGCCCAAAGCCTTAACCACTGAAACGCCACTACCCCAAAAGTTCCCTTCACCCACAAGTGTAATCCATGACTAGGACATTAAGAGTCTCTTACTCTACCAATGAGCTACCCAGGCTAGTCTACCATAGGTCATTACCATTTCTAACATAGTTTTAACACTTCACTTCTTGTCACTCACTTATGTCATTTCCAGCCAAAAGAAACCTGCTAGTCAAATAAAAAGTCACTGGGGCGCCGCTATAGCTCACCTGGTTGAGCTGGCGTCCCATGTACAGGGCTACAGTCCCGATGTGGAGGTCATGAGTTTGACTCCTGCTCATGGTGCTTTCCCACACGTCCTCCCCCATTCTTCTCCCCCACTTTCCTGTCTCTCTCTCACTGCTCTATCCAATAAAGGCACAAAGGCCAAAAAAAATAGACTTAAAAATAAATAAATAAATAAATGAATAAATAAAAAATAAAAAGTCACTGTACATCAACATGTGTCCTAACCAGGGATCTTGTAGCTGTGAGACAGCAGTGCTGACAACCGAGCCACTGTGCAGCCTGCAGAATTTCCAGTGAGGATCAACAACGATGTCTTTTAACAGAACTCACTGACATGAAGAGAGATCACAAATCACCTGCATAGCATTTTAATATGATGCCCAGTCATAATTAAAAATATCAGAGACCTGCATACAAACTGATACATGCGTCAGATGACATTTTAATAAATTGCTGTGCTTCTTTTGCTTCCTGTACAGGTTGAAGGCTGCGGGAAACTGTCTTGACAGCTGACTTTTAACACCACCCCCCTGCTACTGCCACTTGCTCCCATCTGCTTTTATAGGTGAGGCGTAGTTAATGTCATACAAACCTAATGATTGAATACACATTTTATCGGCATTGTTTCATATTTAATTCATGTATGCAGAGAAGTAAGAGCATTGCTTTTTCTTTTGAAAATAATGAAATTGCTGTGATTGCTGATCTATCTTCCTTAGATATGTCACATGCCTGGATCTTATTGTTTCTCCTCCTGTCGGGTAAATGACTGCTTCGTTCAGAAACATTTATTACTGAGTTTATAAATTAGCATCCACAAATCTAGAGTTGTCACACTGTCTCACTTGCAGGGGGGAAGGCATTCATGATCCACAACACCCAGCACAGCCTGTGTCTGGAGGACTCAGTGGATACAGGTGAAGTCCTTCTCAGGAAGTGCAACCTGGACTCAGAGTTTCAGCAGTGGATCTGGATCAACATGGGCATGCTGATGTGTGTGGCATCATCCAGGTGTTTGTCAGCCCAACATGAAAAACCGGTCCAGACCCAGTCTTGCCAGGTGGAGGATGTGGATGTTATAGGGTTAATGTGGGACTGCGATAGGGACAGACTCATCAGCAGAAACACGTCCATGCTATTGTCAGTCAGTGGCCAGCATCTGATTCTAACACAACACAGCCAACAGTCAAAGTGGAGATCTCTGGATGAGGGGGACATCTGCCATGAAAGACTCAGTAAGTCTCAGTAGGCATTACCAATTACAGATTTTTATAGTCCACATTTGTTTTAGCACTTTCTGCACTTTACTGAGTTAGACAGTAGGCAGGCAGCAGTGGAGGAAGTGCTTCGATCTTTACTTAGGTAAAATAGTAATGCCATCGTGAAGAAATATTTAGTTACAAGCAAAAGCAACTTAAAATGTTACATGAGTAAAAGTATATTTGCATCACTTACAGTGCCAAAAATAACTGTGCTCAATATGCAGAATGGCCATTTTAGAAAAATACATACTATGTATAGCTGATGTATACATGGTGCCAATGAGGCGTCAATAACTCGAAGCTTTGGTTTACTTTACACATGCTATGTTACACACAGACGTATATCTTGGGTTGTAAATAGTGGTTGCACGCTCATTTTACTTCTTTAACCTGTTCCCCTTGTTGAATTCAACTCAATTCATTTCAGGTCAATTTTATTTGTACACTGCCAATTCCCAACACGTTATCTCATAGCACTTTATATTGGAAGGCAAAGACCTTACAAATTTTAAACAGAGAAACTCAGCACATCCAAAGTTTTCTGTGGATTCCCTTTAAGCAAACACTTTTCAAAACTGGGAAGGAACAAAAAAAACTTCCCTTTTAAAGGGAAGGACAAAAGAAAAACCTCAGCCAGAGCAAAGCTCAGGGAAGGTGACCATCTGCCACAACCAGCTGGGGTAAGGATGGGGATGAGATGGATGGGGGAGTGGTTGAAGGGGGTGGGGATAGCAAGATAGGAGACGGCCAGACAAACAATATAAGAGAGCAATGAACTGTAGATCAGAAACGTGTAGCTCCAGATCCAGAGACACCTGCAGAGAAAACAAAACACAAACTACGAGGGAGTAGACACAAAGTTAGTGACATGTAATGGTGGTGTATAACTGTATGGAAGAGAGACAGAGGAGATAAGGGGAAATATGCAAAACGCATCACGGAAGTCTGACAGCAGTCTAAATCTAGAGCAGCACAATTAAGGGACAGCTCAGGTGATGCTGAGCAGCTCTAACTATAAGATTCATCGAAGAGAAAAGTTTTAAGCCTAATCTTAAAAGTAGAGAGGGTGTCTGTCTCCAGAAGGTTTTAAAGAGAAGGGTCATTCTGCCTCAATTCACCAAATGCCCAGAGCCTAACCATCTTTAATTTGACTGATTATTTTTAAAAGTTTTATATTGATTGAATTCAACCATGTGTAAAATCTGGGGTTGCACTGCACTTTTAAAGTAAAAACTCAAAGATGTTAAAAGGTACTGATCAGGGTTCATGAAATATGCTGGATTTTCAAAAAAATATGTACTTATATAAATTATATCTTACATATATTTATAGGAGGACATATTAAATGACCAAAGCTACATTGGCATTTCTTCAGAAATGTTTTAGTTCTTATTATAGATTGTTCCAAAATGATTTTCAGTGCCTAACTTATCTTGCAGCTTTAAGAAAATCCCTACAAATTACATATCAAAATGTGCTGCTCAAGTAGGATGTGCTATGACTATTGGCAAGGATTGTTCATACAATTTTTAAAAAATTCAAAATCAAAAATCTCAAATCCATCTATCCATTTTTTGTGCACAGATTTATCTTTTGTAGGGTTGCAAAGGGGCAATCCCAGCTGACTTTGCAGAGTACACCCTGCAGAGGTCAATCCCAACTCCAGTATTTCAATATATTAGAATATTTCATTTGGAGTTTTAATAAATGACCATTTAAACAGTATCAATACTGTGTTTCTCTTGGTCTAGTACAGTACACGTAACCTCAACCATAGGCAAATGCTGACTTGAAAGTTGTCCAGGAGAGTGGGCCACAGGAGGTCATTGCTGAAAATAAACTGCTGGCTATTCAGAGTGCTGTATCGAAGGATAATACTGGAATGTTGATTGGAAAGGAGAGAGTGGTAGTAAAAGGTGCACAAGCAACAGGGATGACTGCAGCCTGTTTGACTGTATGTTCTCCATGTAAACTTTGTCAGGCAGTATTGCTGTTATGCTGATTTGCAGCTTATTTTGATGTCCCCATGGTGCCAAAAGGATAGATTAACATAGCTTTGACAACCTGGCCAACATGACAAATGTGTTGTTGATATATATGACAAAAATCATGAATGTATCAATAGTGTCTTATGTTTTCATTCATATCCATTTCTGTGTGAATAAAGTAAAAGCTTTAGGACTAAATTGAAATAATGTCTCTAAAATAGAAAATAACAAAAAACCAACAAGATTATCTAGTAGGAATTGAGCACAGAAACTGGTGATAATAAATAGTAAGTTAGCATTTGTGTTTACTGTGTTTTATGATCTTTAACAGAGTAGCTGTGCTGTCTGTCTGTGTGTTTAGGACTCAGGAGGGCATCAGAGGATTCAGTCCAAGCTGAGGATGGAGAAGAGCAAACAGAAGAGCTGGCAGGCATGACGGAGGAGCAGAAAGAGTATCTCCGCTGGTACTACCGCACAGAGGACCGTATGTGCTGCTGCTCTTGAAATCCTTTATCCAAATGAAAGTGATTTTAGAAAATACTTGCTTGATCTGTATGTTTCATTTCTTTAAAGGTTGGCTGGATCTGCAAGTCTTTTTTTGTCATAAAACTGAAACACACCTTTTAAAAACTTTTAAGACACCTTTGTTTTGCTTTTTAGAGGAAGTTTTTTAATGCAACATTGTCTTTTCCTAATTGTGATGAACCAAACCATTACTGACTCAATTACTATTTGTATATTCCCATATAACATTTTTTTTTTACAGCAAATTCTTTCATAGCAAAGTCTTGTCATCTAGTCTATCATATTTACAGTATATTACAGTATATTAGGTATTTTGAGAGCTATGTGTTTACTGTTGTGCTGTGTGTACCCTGTTATAGCAACTATATGGAAGTTTGTGCTGCTGGGATTGGCCTTTGTTTGCCTTCTAATTGGTTTTCTGCTGCTGGGAATGGGAGCCATGGCCAACAAGTATGACCTGAAACTTAAAAACTTAATTTCATGGAAAATTAGCGTGCTTTATGTAATTTTAAATGTTTCCAAGTGACTTCATTTCCACTCTTAACTCCTGCAGGAGCAGAAAGAAGATTGCTAAGTACAAGGCAGCAGCATCTCTGGCTCAGAGAAGTGAAGGTGAAGAGCTGCGAGTCATTTCATCAATCACAGACAACAGTGTATCTCCACAGTCCTCAGTGTCCAACAGGGACACAAATGAGCTCAAAGCAGGAGACATTGTGGTCACATGGAAAGATGGCAACACCTCTTGCCTGTACTCTGATACTCCTGCAGAGAAGGAGGACCAGGAGGAGGACCTGAAGGAGAAACAAGAGGAGGTGTCAGCTGCTGAGCTGGAGGCTCATGATGAAGTGAAGATGACAGAATGAAGAGTAATGTAATAGTGACCTCAGCTCTTACCCCAGAGTATGATGCTCCTCTTGAGATGTTTGTAAAAACCTCAACTTTAGTGAGCTGGAAAGTTAGACTACATGACATACAAATCATAAAACAGATCACTAAACAAAACTCTCTCAGAAAAAATTTGTTGGATCTTGATCACCCTCTGATGTGATCTAATATCGACTTGTTTTTGATTGAGTTTCTATCATTTACAATCAAAAAATAAATTATTATCTAAAAAAAAAAAAAAATCTGGTGTAACAGTGAACTTTCCCCACTGTGGGATCAATAAAGTTATCTTTATCTTTATCGTATGAAGTTTGAATGATTGTTCCTCTGCCTCAAATGTTCATAGATCAATAAATCATTTCATCAAAGATCCTCTGTCAGTGTTTTTGATTGCCTTTGCAAACATCATTATTGGAATAGATCACTCATGTCTGTTGTGACTGAACATATGCTCAATTTTCTCCAACCAATATGTGAAGGCATCAGTTAGGAGATCTTACAGTCGCATAATTGGCTTGCAAAAACATTTTCAAGAATTTTAGAAATAAAAGGGAGGTTGGATATGGGCCTATAGTTCGCTAAAACGCCTGGATCTAGAGAAGGCTTTTTGAGCAGTGGTTTCATTATAGCTACTTTAAAAGCCTGTGGTACATAGCCTGTTAATATGGAGAAGTTGATGATATTTAATACTGCAGTATTTATTAGAGGAAAGATTTCCTTGAACAGTCTAGTTGGGATTGGGTCTAACAGACATGTCGCTGGTTTATAAGAATTTTCTATTGACGTGAGCTCTGAGAGATTTACAGCAGAGAAGCAGTCGAAGTATAAATCTGGTCCTATGGATGCATCCAGAGCTGCTGTACCTAAAGACATGTTAATCATTTTTTGTTTAATATTCAAAACTTAACCAGTGAAGATGGTCATAAAGTCCTCACTGCTGAGAGCTAAAGAAACACAAGGCTCCACAGAGCTGTGACTCTTTGTCAGCCTGGCTACACTGCTGAAAAGAAACCTGGGACTGTTCTTGTTTTCCTCAATTAAGGATGAATAATTAGCTGTTCTTGTCCTGCGGATCGTTTTCTTATATGCAAGGAAACTATCTTTCCAGGCTAAATGAGATTCTTCTGAATTGGTAGAGCGCCACTGTCTTTCCAGCCTTCTTGATTTCTGTTTTAAGATGTGCAGCTGTTAACTATACCATGGAGCCATTTTATTATCATTTATAGGCTTCTTTTTCAATGGGGCAACAGCATCAATTGATGAATGCAGTGAAGCTGCAGGTCTACCAACAAGATTATCCACCTGTGTGGGACTAAGATTAGAGGAGCTGCTTTCCATTGTGTTGGCATATGTCATTGAAGTAAATAATAGTGGAACCATTTCCTTAAATTTAGTTACTGCATTATTGGTTAGACATCTGGTGTAATGGAACTCTTTGGTAGATGTGCCATAGTCCATTATTGTAAATTCAAATGTTATTCAAAATGATCAGACAGAATCCATCCATCCATCCATTATCTATACACTGCTTAATCCTCGCTAGAGTCATGGGGGGCTGGAGCCTATCCCAGCTGACTCAGGGTGAAGGCCGGGGACACCCTGGACAGGTCACTAGTCTATCGCAGGGCTACACTTAGAGACAGACAACCAAGCACACTCACATTCACACCTATGGACAATTTAGAATCACCAATTAACCTCAACATGTTTTTGGATGGGGAGAACAAGTGTTAGATCAACCACATTCATATTTCCACTGTCCTGTCAGGCTCGCTGGAGGCCTGCCTCCCTATGCATCAGTATATCCCACCTGGGTGGACTGCTGGAGGCATCTAAGCAGAGAGGTAAATACACCACAAACCAAACTTCTTTCAAACACCTGTGTGATGTCACGTGGATCACGGCATGTTCACCACTATTGCTTTGAAGTCTGAAACAAAAATTTTCATTAAATCAGAGCAGCACTCAGAAGACAAAAACCTAAAGCCTCTGCCACTAAGTTAATAACTTACTGGTGCTGGTTACACTTTGTGTTTACCATGAGCTCCAGACAATTGCAGAAAAATGGTTAAACTGACATCACAAATTCAGACTGTACATGTAATAAGAAAGCTATGCAGAAACATCTCAGTTTCACAAGTCAAAGATATGCTGGCTTTTGACTACAGCTAGAAAGTGATCATAAAGGCTACACGATCACCATATTCAAGATCAGCTGGCCATTGGATGGGAACCACAGTGTACCATAGTTAGCTTAGCTGTTCACATAAAATGTAATTTTAACTGATTTAGCTAACATCTTCAAACCAGATCCCTATTTGACATCAACTGCTTTTTGTTAAGTTCAAATTAACTGTAATGCAGGGGTCGGCAACCCTAAACACTCAAAGAGCCATTTGGACCCGTTTCCCCCTTTCTGACATCTAAAATGAAGATAACACTGCATATATCATTTTTTATCTTTATGCTATGTGTAAAAAACTAGAGTGTGTTGCATTTATGAAATTAATGAATTGCTACAGAGAAAACAAAATTTTATTTCTGCAACAAAAATATTTTGAATTAAAAAAAAAAAAAAAAGACACTGGGTTGAAGGTTACTTTCAAATAAAATACTCAGTGTCTATTTGAGTCCTCCTTGTATATATGGGATAAAAAGCTTAATTTAAATTATCCACCTGCAACAAAGTAAAAACGTCGTCTGGTTGTCCTGCTGACTGCAGCTGGGACTGCTGACCAGACTCCTGACCGCCTGTGAGCGCTTTGGGATGGGGAGGAGCTCACAATCGCACCGCTGCTGGTTGAGGACAGTAACTGCAGAACAATATGTGTTTTCACATCAGAGTCTCCAAAATACCAAAGAAGGCTCCAATAACACCAGAAAAAGCCACTAGATTTGTTGCCAGTTGCTTTTGACAAAAAAAAAGTAGCCAAGAGGATTTGGAAAGTTGCCAGAATCAGTATGAAAGTCACCAAGTTGGCAACACTGTGCGTGCACATTTTGAATGACAAAAAAATTAAACACGTTTTATTTTAATGTTACAAGATCACCATAATCTTCAAATTTAGAATTACATTAACACAAAACTAACAAACTAAAACAAAATGAATTTAAATTAAATATTCAATATTTATTTTAAAAATCCACAAGGAACCGCAGCAGAGTCAGTTTTTCCAGCAAGAGTCACATGCTGACACAGGTTGCCGACCCCTGATGTAGAATATACATAGCAAAAAAACACTTAGAATTTCCCAGAACCTAACAAGACCGCTGCAAAATGCTTGTTTTGACCAACCAACACTCCAAAACCCAAATTTAGAAGCTGCAACTAGCAAGGTCAATAAAAAATATATGGATGATAGTTTATTTTTCTTACAATTGACTAATCATTGCAGTTCTTCAAATCAGTGAGCCACACTGAGTTACATTTTCATTCATCCCCGTGAACAAACACTGCAGTTCATTTGAACTCACCTCCACATGCTGCTGCCACAGATACTGCTTAATCTGTGGGTAAAACATTGTTACCAAAAGTCCCAAACACATGCAGTCTTAGGAAATTTCTTTGAAAGTTTAAGATTTACATGGACTTCGAGTTGAGGGACATGCATAGAGTACGGAATTAGAGACATACTTTGCTGGTTTAGCTCATTTATTGGATTAGTTGACAAGTTCCTTTTAAGGTTTTTGTATGTTTTTTCTTTCCTTCATTTGCCAGATTTGTTCGTGAGTGTTCACCTCTAACTACATGTCTTCTCCTGTGTCAGAAGCTGAGCACCTTCATTGGAGGTGCTGCGTTGTCAACCCCTGGTTTCGACCATTCACAAGTGTGTGTGTGTGTGTGTGTGTGTGTGTGTGTGTGTGTGTGTGTTTGTGTGTTCACGTAGGGTGACTTTCCCTGGGACCCACTCCTTCCTTGTCGACACACCTCCCCGTAGGGAAGCCAGCTTTGATCCGGTTCATTAATGTTAAATAATGCCTACATAGATTATAGTTTCTACTTTAATTTTGCTTTTTAAAAGATAAATAAAATTTGATTGTGAAATTTTGCACACAAAACTTGTTTACACCTTGTAATGGACTGTATTGGTACCTAAATAATACTGTACATCTTGTTTGCGATCACAGTTACAAGTAAATTTGCATGTCCTGCACTCAAATTTTCAATGACTGCTGAAGTGGTGGCATGCATAACACGTAACCCAAATTGTCTGCGCCTGATTCTCAAGGACAAATCTTCAGCTGTTCCACAACTGGCAACCACAAACAAAGAGTGAATCATCAGCACATTTACAGCTACCATGCCATTATCCAGCTCCTCTTTCTGCTCCGGCTGCATGTCATCAAAATGCATCTGAGCTGCGTCACATGTCCGGCTGCTATGTATAGAGTCTGTTCTTAGAGCTTTGAAAACAAATAGTGAATACCCTATCAGATACCATCCGCTGTGGACAGGAGGCACTCACTCTTACTGGAAGTAAAACACAGTGCATGGCCATGGATCAAACCTCTCTTGGAGTGAGCTTGCAGTTCAGCAGAGATACAGTGAAGATCTACAGCAGGAAGGTGATGGAGTTCAGCAGCTGTTCACACTTGAGCCAACAGTCAGACCACTGTAAGGCAGCGGACACTCTGAGGGTCAACATTAACGGTAATGTTTTCGCTGTGGATAAAACCATTGTAGCTAACAACTGTGAGTACTTCAGAGCATTGTTCCAGTCAGGAATGAGAGACTGCAGACAGGAGGAGGTCCAGCTGCAATGTGTGGGCATTCTGGGGTTTGTAGTCTTGCTGCAGGTTCTGGATGGGAAACAGCCCATGCTTAACAGTGATCAGCTCGTGGAAGCAATTGAGTGCACAGCTTTTCTACAGGTGCCAGCTCTCACAAAGCATTTGATCAATATTATCAATTCTGAAAACTGCTTACTCATGTACCACACAGCTGCAACCTATGGAGTGTGGGACCTGTCCCACAGTTCAGCCTTATTCATCAGAGACATGTACACTGACCTGAGGGAGGATATTCACACCTTACCCTGCAACTTGATAGATTACATTGAGTCTCTTCTCCCAAGTAGCTACATGGCAATGTGCAGCCACTCTCCATCCACGGAGCTGCTGCCAGATGTACAGAGGACAGTCTGCTACCTGGATGAAGAACACAAACAGTGGAGGGTCCTGACACATCTACCTGTGTGCACCAGCACCACAATGGCAGGTGTGGCCGTCCTTGACAACAAACTGTACATTATTGGAGGAGTGCATGATGTAAGTAAGAAGGTGGTAGAGAATGGATTCTGTTACAACCCTGCAGCTAACTCATGGTCAACCATCTGTGGCCCCCAGCAGTTACGTTACAATTTCACTCTGATTGGTCATGAGGGCTGCTTGTATGCTGTAGGAGGGGAGTACAACATGATAACCCTATCATCTGTGGAGAGATATGGGCTGTTTGATAGGAACTGGAGCTTTGTCTCTCCCCTCCCCTCCCCTGCAGCCTCAGTGGTGTCTGCTGTAGCCATGAACAGGATCTTTATATGTCTCTGGAGAGGGCAGGGGGCCACAGATATACATGAGTATGTGCCTGAACAAGGCCGGTGGCTACTGGTCACTACGCTCATACGCCAACACAGTTATGGTATTTATATGGTGGCCCATAAGGATAATTTGTATGTGTTGCGCAATGGACCTTGTGATGACTTCTTACTGTGTTTAATGGACTGTTACAATCTGAGCTCAGGTCAGTGGACGGCCATGTCTGGTCAGTATGGGAACAACAAAGGCTCTCTATTAACTGCTGTGGTCAGAGGAGACTCTGTGTTCACTCTCAGCAGACGTGTGACCACGGAATACACCATCGAGACTTACAAGTGGAAACTGAAGCATGAGATGGAAGGTTTTGGAAGGATTGGCTCCATATATACATTTCTGATGAGGCTGCCTAAAGCCACCATCTCCCTCATCGGAAATTATCAAGATGTAACTCAGGACCAAAATCTCAGAGAGTTCAGTGTCTGTACCAGAATTTCCCAGTAATGCTCCTATAATCTGTGGCGACTTCTGTTCTTTAAACTGTCATACTGGTTTACTGCTACATGCACTTCAATGTCATTGTGTTGGATGTGGTTCAAAGTTCAGAGAGAAAAATCAGAGAAGTTTTAAATAAATTTCCAGGACAAATATATCTGGAAAATAAATAAAATTATTACCCAAACCAATTGCCTTGTCCAATGGCTTGCTGTACTGTACTTTCTTATACAAGGTGCATATGCTGTCCACACTGCAGCTGCTTCACTTAACAATATACCTCCATAGCAGAGATTTAATCTATCCAAAATGTTAGCTTGTTTCTAATCATGATCTAATTCTGATCATCTGCCAGATCATACATCTCACACTGTAGATCACAGCAGCTGTTTGGTAACTGACAGAAATGATGTGAAAATAAAGCCCAAGTTGTGATAAACTAGAATAATCTATTCATGTGATGTGATGGGGTAAGGTAAACATGTTCAGTTGATGTTTGCCAAAGCTGTCTGTTTTTGGTAACCAGGTCCACATGGACATTGTTCCTGTTGTCACTGAAAGCAATTGTTGGATTCATGCTGTTAACATAAACAACAACAACAAAACACTGCCTTGGTGTAACTTCATATCACAGCTTTAATAAATCACACACATAAATCACATTTACTACAGCTTATCACATTACTTTAGTTATACATAGATAACATGAGTTTGGTCAAGTGTGCTTTTGTATTAAAAGAAAATATGAATGTAATAAACACTTTCAGATAAGTCATGAGTAAAATGTTATTGGACACAAATATAAATGCGCGATATGGGCTCATCAGTGTTATCATTATCATACGAGCAACATACTTTTCCTGCCACTGTCCACCTACAACAATGTGTATTTTCATGTAGTTTCATGTTTGGCATATACATTTCTGTAGTAAATACCAGACTTGAGCTTGCAGTTTAATTGCAGTAATTCAGTGATAAAGGTAACGTGTGTGTGCCTGTTTGTGTGTATATTTTGTGTTTTGTGTTTTAATAATGTGCTGTCAGCCCACACGCATCATGAGCTCCTCCAGGGCCCGTTCTCGGTGATTTTCGTGGACCAGCAGCACTTCTTTAATGGCGTTCTGCTGGAAGCCCATCTCATTGAACTGATTCAGCAGCTGAAGGAACTCCTCCGCCTCAACAGGAAGAAATCATAACAGCTTTATACATTCTTTTCATTAAACTGGATTTATCATAGGAAAAGTGAGATGAATAAAGGCTTGCGTGAAGTAGCAGCTGGCTGTATGTCTTACCTTTGTTTCACAATTTTGAAACATTTCCAGGGCCTCTTCGACCTGAGCCATGTCATAACCCAGCTGACACAGGTGATCACATGCCACCAAGTAACTCAAGATCTGCAGACACACACACAAATATTCATTCATCCAGGAACAAAAAGACAAAAGTGGTGAAATTAAAGCTATCTATTACCAAGCAGCTGGTCTGAAAAAGTACAGCTAATACACTGAAAGTTAATAATGTCACTGACACTGGCCACTAACTCTTATGGCAGTGATGAAAGATCCATCCATCCATTATCTATACACCGCTTAATCCTCATTAGGGTCGCGGGGGGGCTGGAGCCTATCCCAACCGACTTAAGGCGAAGGCGTGATGAAAGATGTATTCAGATTTTTTTTTTACTTTTGTAAAAGTACAAATATCACACTGTAAAAATACTCCATTACAACTCCTGATTTTACAACATTTATTTAAGTAACAGTAAGTGCGATCAGGATATTGTATCATAATATTAAAAGTATGTAAGTATTGATGCATAAAAAAACTTGTTTGTTAGTTTAATTTATATCTTAAGTCATTAAAAGGTGATAGCCATATCAAGCAAACACTAATGGGTGCATGCATGTCTCCTCCTATCTTCTCATGTTGAACTTCATGGATCTGTTATGTTTCCCATTAACTTATTCCCATAGATTGACATGTATCTTGTTCTGAGCACACAGAAGGCCCTGTTATGAGAAAACACAGCAAACTGTGGAAGTCTGAGCTCTATTTGTAGTCTGGCTTAAGCTGGCTTAGTATAGTGTATTTCTGTGGCACCAACCTGATCTGGGGTCTGCTGTCCTGTCCTTTGTAAGGCAATGATGGCAGTACGGAGTGGGTAACCTCGAGCAGTGATGGCCGCCAGTAGGTCTCTCTCCTCTGGGCTCAGAGCTGACAGGAGCTCTACTGAGGAGTCTGAACCAGAGGTGGCAGAGATGTTTCTACTGGAATCTGGCCTGAGAGACATCTAAGAAACAGGAGACTGTAGTGAGTGTACAGTGTGATCATTGGAAAGAAAAAAGACAGGGTCAGGCACTTAAATGGTCATGTTAATAGCTCAGATTCTCTGAACACTGACAGCTTGGCTCAGGTTGGAGCATTGAGATCCTGACGTGCACTTTTACTGCGAAAGACAGAGCCTCGCATTTACTAATCCAGATGAACCTTTTATAACCTGTCTGGATTCAGGGAGCAGACTTTACACAGCTTATTTTTAAAGTGCTGATCTCTGAAAACATTTTGGAAATGTGAACTGGAAAAACGCTAGATAGTGAGGGTTGATTTCCTCTTCCAACAAACAGTGTTGACTCTCATACAAGAATTTAAGGATATTTAAAGACGTGAGAGAAACTGAGCCTTCAATGATGAAATTTATACTAATCAGAGTATAAATAGAGTCACAGTGCTGTTGTTCAGTGGGGATTCATGGTGAGTGGGTCTGTTCCTAGTTAAAAGTGCAGATTATAGCGCAACTCAGGAGAAGTTAATACCCTGAGCTTTACACTGTATTCATAGTCACTCTTGGTAAGCAGAGTGAAGGCTATCTATACTACAGACTGGACAGCATAAACTCTCCTTTAGCCACACTGTCCTCTCTCACTCATGAGGTCATGGGAAGATTCCAAAGGTCTTTACAGCATGTTGTGAATGACAATGTTGAGAACATGCTAAAAACAGATCTCAGTCATATTGGACCCCACTTTACTCTGAGGATAATTCAACACTGAGCCCACCTTTAATGCCTCACAGCACAGTAAAAGTGTGTGTGCAAGTATTCATATTTTTTTACAGTTTACCTTCAGTGTCTCTTTCAGGTGAGTCACACCGGTTGGTGTTTCTCACCTGCCTGATAACTTCAACACTGTTCTTGTAGGCCTGTTGGGCCTTTGATTTAGCAAAGTTTATTGGTGTGATAACATCAATGCATCATAACTGATAAAACCAGTGGCCTGGAGCTATATGATGACCTGATACATCATATCACTTCAACTGATCATGTTGGTCAGCTAAAACGTGATGCTACATTCCCTACATGTTTTATCTATTGTAATTTTGTGATACAATCTTGTGATGCATGATTATTGAACTGAATCTTTAAAAAACCTACATTTGAGCAGCCTATACACAAAAGGACAGTGATACTGATAAGAACGTTTAATTCCCATTCACACAATCTGCATTGTTTGCAGTTTTTCTTGCTTTTAAGCTTATTATATTTTGAAACTCCTCATACTGGTTGACAATAAGTTTGTTCTTTTTTATTGGAAATATATAAATTAGGGGCTGCAAGGTGGCTCGGTGGTTAGAACTGGGGAAGTTTGTGACCATTTGTGGGCAGTCGTGTTAGCTCAGGCTTTAGCCTGCGAGCCTTGTGGTCTGTTCAGTTTCCCTTGTTGCATTAGCTGGACTCAGCCTGCTAGCCCAAAATCTCCCTCCCTGATCTCTTTGCTGTTTTTAAATTATCTAGTTTATTCTGCGAGTTTGGCTCTTTATATTCTTTAGTTTGAGGTAAATCCTTGTGGTAATAAACTCCTTTACTTGTACCAGTCTGCTTCGGATTTCTGTTTGTCGTGGTTTTATGTGGAAGAATACAGCTTGACATATTTTTCAATTAAAAGTATGAAAGTAAACACAGTGAACACTCTTTCATCAGCTGAATTAAACATAGTCTGGATCTCAGTGAGGTCTGCTGCTTAGACGACAGCATGCTCCCTGACATTAACATCCCCTACCTTATGTGCTGTGTTGTGGTTGCTGATGATGGGGAGCCTGTCAACAGTATTGGCCCTGATGTTGGGAGTTCTCATGTCGGGGGCTTTGTGTAATGAGGGATTCTTGGATTGGCTGTCTGTGTTGGAATCGCGTTGCGTGGACACGTTGAGCACTGAGAGGGAACACTGACGCAGGTTTTTCCTGCGCTGGTGTGGCAGGCTACTCAGGCAGGCTGGTGGGTTCAGCAGGTCTGGGATGAAGGCTTTCTGTGCTTTCCTCTGACTCTGCTGACACGTAGTAGCTGGGTGTTCCTCCCCCAAAGAAACATTCGCTGGCACACATGTCTGGGTTTTCTGTGAGGCGCCCTCTCCTTCATCATCAGAGTGTGAGAACTTGGTGCGCAGGACAGCGGGATTGAGGCTACGGGAGCGCTGCCGAGGGTTGGGCTCCCAGAAGTCAGAGCAGTGCCGGCTGGCCATGCGGCTCTGCTGGGGGCTGCAGAACATCATCCAGTATGGCGGACAAGATGGCATCAGTCCTAATGAAGAGGGGGGCTGAGGCCGGTGCTGGTTGATGAAGCCACTCTGCAGTCCAGTAATCACCCAGTTCTCCAGACTGAATTCATACTAGCATATGGACAAACAACATGTGAGTCACATAAACAACTCCCTTATGTCTTTACACCCAACTACTTTTTACTCTTCTGTAATGACAAAGTGAAATACCTGTCAAAAGTAAAATTCATCAAATTATCACAGCGATGATGCCTTTCATCTTGACAAACAGCCATGCAAGCAGATTCCTACTATAGTTAGTCAAGTTGACTAGCAGTAAACACCAAGTCCAAATGAAGCTGTTGGGATGGATTTTTAACATGGCTAAAAATGCATGTCACATTGTCACACATGGTTGGTTGCTGAATTGTAGAGAACACTACAGAAGGTGAAAAGTAAGACCAGAGATTTCCTTAATTGTACAGCTGCAACACCTGAAATCTATTATTCATGTTAATTTAGCCACTCTGTGTCAAGGCTGATTGTGTCTGGTTTCTTCTGGAAAACAGTCATGTGAGAGAAGTGTAACGAATCAGAGAATGAGACATAATGACAGTTCAGACCCAATCAGAAAGTGAACATGGGGGTATGCATCGTTATTTCCAAAAGTTATAGTTTCTCCCCATCCAGACTAAAACAAAACCACAAAGTTTCCAAACTAAGACAGGTCTATTGTCAAAACAAAATAATACACATTATAAAATATCTGTAAAAAAATTTTTCAAACCACAAAATATTTGATCAATAGTTACAATCAATACAGTAGCAACTATAGCAGCTTCAGGGAATCAGATACAGTGACATCTCCTGTGTAAAGAGGCCTACTCTTATCTTCTACCACTGCTGAAAATGTGTGCTAATCTTATACACAGAGATACATTTGAAAACATTAACTGTGAAGAGTTATGTATCGTGCATACATAAACCCCTTTCAGACGTGGAACTTTACTGGCTTCATCAATTCATTAAAGTAAACCATTGCAATCATTCAGACAGAGGTCACTTTTCTGTTGTGTTTCTCACAGCTGCAATCAGACATACACACCAGAGTGCCTGAGAGGCCTAAGCATGCAATATTTATTATTCCTGCAAGACTAGACAATACACCAAATGATGCATAAAACATAACAATGCAATAATAGACTAATTTTAAAATAACTAAATTTTAAGCAAACTGTGAGAGAAGAGCTTGAAACAGCTGAAAGAAGCTCCTGTCCCCATCTTGTGGGGAAAAAACTCGGATTAGGTTACTACGTTGGGCATAGTGACATTGCCAGTGCAGCTTCTACAGAAACATGACCAGGGTTCAGATAAAAAGCCAACACACATAATTGCCATCAGAATAATGGAATGGCATGCATGTGTGCAAGAGGTTGTGGAGACACACAGGACAATATGCTCACCTCTGTCTCCTGCAGGATGGTGAGGTAATTGGGGACGGTCACTGTGATGTCGTCTTTGACTTCTTGTAGGCCAAGAGCCTGTGTGGTCTTTAGTGGGACACCTTCCATACTGCTCAGTCCACTGACAAACACACAGTTGAGGGGGGTGTTGGCAAAGTCTCAGGTGATGTCAGGCACTGTGAGCTTGAACTTGCTCCTGACAGGAGGCAAGAACCTTGCATGACAGCTCTGTCACCATTGTTGTGTGAATGTGTGTGTGTGAATGGGAAACAGTATAAACTGCTTTAAGCACCACTAAGATTTTTTTACAAAAGTGCTACATAAGTGAAGAACATTTAGTCATAGTCTGTCTTACACCACTGGAAACATGACCAACACAGATGGGCTGTCTGACAACAAGGCAAAGCAGTAAAACAGACTACAAGTAAATAGTGCATGAGAGCAACACTACATGTTGTGGCCTGTAATGTAATCATTTACTACATACAGTAAGAAACGTGCTTTCTCATACTGGAACGAAGCTCACACAGCTGGAGATCAGGAATGAAACAGGAAACATGGCTAAATTTGTCCATGGTTCAGGCTTAAGCAGACATATGTTGGGACGTGGCTATACCTTCAGTCACTGTCAGCAGAAATATAAGCAACTGCTGCTACAGCTAATGCTCGTTAAACAACTCATCAGCATGACATCCCCCTTCCAGTCAACAGAAACTGGGTTCAGCCTCCACACACCACTGAAGAAGAACATGGTTTACAACACAGAGGAAAGATCACGAGAAAAACTGAACTCTAAATCAAATTTACTTTCTTAGAAATTCTGTCTACTTCCACATCTGCTTCTCTGTTTGTGGTGTGAGTTACACAAGAAAGAGTAAAACGTGCAGAGAAAGGATCAGAGATTAAAACAAGGCAGGATGTAAGTCACTACAGATGCTTCGCTAACAGGCATTTTGAATTTATTAAATTAGCACAAAATCAAATAAGGTGTTGCTTTGCTCCAGGAATGGCTTCTGTCAAAGACATAGTCTGTCTGACTGTGAGATGAGTATGCTCAGTCTCTGTTCCTGCTGTCCACTTAAAGTTAATCAGATATATTTTGCAGGAACATCACGCAGACAGATGGTCCAGGACTTCTGGCGGCACAGAGGACAGATGCTCCCTAAGCTCACTGTGTCTTCTCTCAAGCGTATTTACAGGGTAATGCGACTGTGCAAATACAGTCACACTGAATGTGTAAGAACAGTTTAAAACCAGTACAAGATACTGATAAGAGTGAATATCTGAGTCTGCAGAATCCTGAACATTCTTTAAATCACTTTGGGGGGGAAAAATCTTTTATTTATGTTAGCCTAAAGTCTTATTTTTCCTTTTTATACCACACTTTATTTGATCACGTTACTGGTTCTAAGCTGTTGTCTTTTTTGTGGTTTTTATTCTGTTTTTTTCACTGCATTTCTATTTACAGGATTATATTTGATGGTGGTGTGAATGTTTTAATTCAGTTTCTCCTTTTTTAAAATAGTTTAAGAATTATTGTTGAATGTTTCAACAACCAGAATAAGTGTAGGAGGATGTCTAATCTAGTGAGCAAACATTTGATATTTTCTAAAGACTAGTTTAACAGAAGACTCCTGAGCTTTGGACAGCTTACAGTGGTCAGCTACTGCTCATATTTAGAATAGTTTAGTAATGAAAAAGTAATGAATTTATTTTTTTGAATGGAACATTATGACTGTTTTCACTAAATAAACTCTGAATAGCTGTGTAGCACATCCTCATCTTTCAATCACTCGTATTTTTCCGTCTAAATTAATTTGTTGAATATAAGAATTAAAGAGCCTACCTGTGTGTTGTCGGAGCTGCAGTCAAGCGTCACTCTGCAGGTTCTTTAGAAAACCACCTGAACGCTAATCCACTGACCTGCAGTAACCCCAGCAGCTGACTGCCCACAACAACACGTCAACACAGACCAGACTGTCAGGCCTCAGACAGCATCACAGCAGGGAACACTGATACAGTTTCTACTCTAAGTATTGTCCAAGAATAAAATCCTAAATTTCCCAGACTGACCTTTTTAAATGAAGATTGAGCAGTAAATGAACCAGTGTCACCTCTCCACTCTATGATGTTTCCCTGTAATGGAACTGGATTGCCTATATGAAATAGAAGGAATGGAAAGCAGGTGAGATCATGCAAAAC